CTTCGGTGAGACGCGTGCCACTCCTGGAGGTGTGTAGCTCAGGCTGGAAACGAGTTATTCCACTGAACTCGTTCTGCGGACCATATTTGCTTCGACTGTTGTGTCAAACGAGCGTCTCATCCTCATTTGGAGCAACGGTGATTCTGAAAAACCTTTTTTAAAGGCCACCGGCTCATTTTGTGTGGAGGATGTGAGAAGGAGCCGCTGTGAGGTCATCCGAGCTGACAGACTGGCTAAAAAACAGACACTTTCATCATTAAATTATGTTTTATTCCAAAAACTCGTGTCATCTACACATCCTCCGCAAACCGTCATTTTGAATCATCTCCCCCGTGAGCTCTGCGGTTTGTTGTCCAAGGGCACCTGTCGGCGATCTTAGGGAAACGCTGAACCTCCGGTTGCTGGGATGAGAAAGGCTGACGTCTGACGGGCGGGGCTGGCATAGCGGAGCAGGGAGACGCTGGTGCAGCCGAGGAACGTCTTGAAAATGGTCGCGAACAGCGCGTCCGTCCTTGATGAGGGTCCTCCAACAAAAAAACTTTCTGCAGCTCCTCCGAGAGGGAGGTGGAGTGACGGGCCAGGTGGACCTCTGGAAAACTTCGTCCTCCGGCTGCGATGCGAGACCGGCAGACAACAAAAGAGGCGCACAGGTTGAGGATGACGTCAGCTGCCTTGCAGAGGGAGCGCTACGTCTCTTCCAGCCTCTTGAACATTGTACGCCAGCAGCGTAACGTATTGTTCGCTGCGGCCGCATGGAACGCACACTGGTGAGCTCGGTTGGAGAACGACATCACCATCTGGTTATGCTTACCCGGAGGCGCAGGACGCTGGTCCAACCTGGACATCTTTGCTCCGAAAGCCTCCGCCAGGCTCGGCTCCAGGGGGCACCGAGGAAATTTCAGCTCGGTGAAACCCCTCCACTCTGGTAATGGGGGCGAATATGGGAACCGGTGCCCTTATTCTATCAGTAACTGGCTGCGGCCTCGTCTCAGTAGGACTTCACTGCTGGGAAACAAGGCCAGATGGGATCAGGACGGCCCGCCGGAATGGAGCCCTGAAACCTTCCCGATAGATCATCCGATCTGGGCGGGGGAAGGAGAGGGACGGAAAAAGTCCCCTCATATCAGCCGCCTCCTGGATTATGCCGGGCAGCTCCAGAGGAGAGCACCGACGGCTGGGAGCGGTGTGGTCGCCGATGCAAAAAAAAAGTGGGGGGGGGGGGGGCATTCGCTCAGCCCCCCTCGTTCCGACACTACGCTCTCCAGGAGGGAGTGAGCAGCGCGGGGGGCTGCTGCTGACGTCGCCTGTCACGGAGGAACCATCCGATTCGCTCTGAGAGTCGGCGATAAAGGAAAATTACAAGATGGCGTCATCTACCGTGTAGCGACCTGCCACTGAGAAATACTCCTCGGCGCTTACCTTGAAACAAGACTGCTCGTCTGCTTCTCCTCGGGGAGGAGAACTCACCGGGAAGGCAGGAGGTTGACGTGGCGGGGCCACAGGCAGTCTTAACAAAGGTTGGTCAAGCTGGACAACTTTCCTTCTTCGTTCTTCTGACAGTGCTATTAGCTTGCTGAAGAAAAATGGGAGCCGATTACCCGCTCTTAACGTAATTTATACGGACCGGGTGGGGCCCACACAGCAGGTTGGCGTGGACTAAATTTTTCAGTGCAATGCTTCGCATGACGGGATAAAACCCACTAAGCGACAGCTCTTAAAGGGCGAAGCCTATACGAAATAGAACTGTGTTTACCTTCAATGGTCTGGAAGGTGTCCTGAGCTCGGCCGAGTGGTGTTCGGAGCTTGGACAGCACGGTGAACTGAGCGGCCTCCCAAACGGCCCACTGCCACAACACCACCTCTGTCTTCAGCAGGGCCTGGGACACCACATCTGGCCTGCTGTCATCGCAGGTCCCTTGACTGTCCTTCTTCTCGAGCCGCTGGCAGCTGTGGTACATTCGTTCCAGCCACGGCTCCTTGCTGAAAAGACAAATGTGAAGCTTAGGAAGTGCCATTACACAGAAATATGGCATTATTCAGAGGATAAAGTCCAATTTATGCAAATTTACGAGACAAAACCTTTCCCTATGGTTGAAGAAGAAACTAATAAAAAGATTGAAGAAATGTGTATAATCATGAAGTGCTTTGCCAACACCATAACAAAAGGTAAATGGACAGTGCTTATATAGCTCTTTCTGTTTAATAAAGATGCTCAAAGCGCTTTACAACACAATCTGTGTCATCATTTACCCATTCATGTAAATGAGGGCTCATTTACATCCACACACATTCATACAGCACTCTACTAAACACACACATTCATACAGCACTCTACTA